TTTTTCCAATGAAATTTCCTCTGGATCAGAACATCAAATGGCACACACTCTAAGCCAAGGAGAGTGCCTCGGGGTGTCCCGGTTTAATATTTCCTCTGGGAGTTTATTTGACATTTATCTTTCTTGCAACAAGGCTTAAATCATACATGATATTTAAAGAACAGTAACTGGACTGCTTCAAAGTAACTTGGGCCTCACAAAGTCATATGACTGAATGCCCATCTTCAGGGCATTCTCAGGGGTTTAGTGTGACAAATATGGTTATTTGGGGGAAACACAGAACACGTAATCACAGTAAATAGAATTGGGAGTAAAGGGCTGCCTGGGACGGGCATAAGTCAGAGGTCATGCCGTGGCTTGACTCGTGTGTCACCTAGGAGAGGGCCTGTGTTTGAGTCCTGGCTGTATGTTGTGTTCCTGCTTCCTGCTAATGCGCTCCCTGGGATGCAGTGGTGATGGTCCAGTGGCATGGGTCACTGCCAGTTACATGGGCCCTCAAGGTTGGTTCTGGGCTCTTGGCTTCATCCTGGCCCAGTCCTGGTATTTCAGGCATTTGGGGAGAAAATATGGAGCATATAGAAGATTCTTTTCTCTCTCTGTCTCTTTTTCCCCTGCCCGATTGGCTACTCTACAATCAATCAATCAATCAATCAATATACTTACTGATACTCAAGCACTATTTTGACAAAGAGTAGATGGTAAGTATTTTGGACCTTTCAGGCCAAGAGGCAAAATTCAACAGAATATGATATAGTGATAGAGAGAGCCTATTTCCACATTTTTAGCTCGACTTCTATTTAAAATATATCAATTCTATAGTGTTTTTTGAAGTGAGGTCTATTTGTGAGAATGGAACTGTGTTTTTAAACTAATATTTGTCCCAATGAGGTTGAAAGTTAGCGTTCTTGGCATCACATCAACAATGTCTTTGCCTCATGGACTATATAAAGAGGAAATGGAATGGATTTGGCATTCAGGTCACAGTATTCCAATCCTTAATATAGAGATAAGGTTCTGTTGTTTAAAATCCTCTGTGGTTATCAACACATCACTGGCTTGTGGCAATCTACCCTCAGGGGACAATGTAATAGCTCCCCATGTGTAGTCCAAGCACCTTAAGTAGGATATGTCTACCTTGTCTCTTGTGCCTTTTGCTTTATTTTGCCATCTAAAGTACTCCTGCACACACTAAGACTGCATACCCATTGTGAGATAATAATCTGTTAAATGTCATGTGATTACATCAACTCTGATTGTACCAATATTCTTGACTCTTATTTTAGGACAGAATTAGATGAGTTGTAATCTGTTTGATCCATTTTGGTCCTGCTTTTAATGTTTGCTGAGTGGGGCATAAAATCTAGGACTAGTAATTTCTCTCTACTGAGGTTAAAATAAAAGTCTGAATACTGCATTCAGTGCCTTTGGTTTATGGAAATTTTCCTTGTTTTTCCTGAGTACTTGCACAAATAAGCTCTTTCAGAGAGGACATTTGATGCTGTGGTTAAGATGCCATCAAGTTATGCCTGCGTATCACAATGAGAGTGCATGGCCTTGGTCCCACCTCTGCTGCCACTTCCAGCTTCTTGTTAATGTCACCCAAAAGGAAGTAGATGTTGGCCAATTAGTTGGATCCCTCTCACCTGCTGGGAGCCCTGGGTTGAAGTCCTGGCTCCTGGCTTCAGGCTGACCCAGTTTCAGTTGTTACAGCCATTTGGGGAGTGAACCAGAGGTTGGAAGAGCTGTCTCTCCATCTCTGTGCCACCTTGCCCTTCAAATGCATCTCAAGAGAAAGGAAGAAAGAAAAGTAGGAAGCAGAAAGGAAGAGTCAAATCTCCCTTACCCAGAAGCCCCAAAGATTCTTTTGTCCTGTTCTCCCAGTCTATCACTGAACATCCGCTCTTAAACAATGACAGTAATCAAAATCACAGATGGAGAGTGAGTCCCCTCCAAGCACCACTCCTGTTTCACTTGCTTCAGGCACTCCCCAGGAGCTAGCAGGGCTGAGAGCTGGGAAGCACCCTTGCCATCCACTTGTCGAATTTGATGCTTTGCCTGCTCTGAAGAGATGCAGTGCTCTGTTCTGTAGACACACCCTTCTTGCCTCTGAGGGATGCATTTGTTGATTTGGGGGAAACACAGGACACATCGTCCCAATCAATAGAATTAAGGGTAAAGGTCAGAGCAAGGGAAAGAAGTCATGCTTTTCTCTACAGCCTCTGAATGCTCTTAAGGATCCAGGCCTTGTCTGCATAAACAGTTGGCAGCAGGAGGGATGGGTTTGAGTGTGGATTTCAGTTGATATCCTGACTGAGCTGGGAGCCTCACGTGTCTCCTGCTAGACAGCTGTTTCCTGACACATGGTGCGATGCAGCCTGAGCCCATCACAAACATGGCCTCAATTGTGACTAATTTTTAAGTGTCTTCAAGGACATACATGTCCTCCAGGGTACCAACTCTCTGTCCCTTCAATGGCAGAGCTGCACATCAGAGGTCCTAGCATGATTAGTTGGCTTTCACATGGTTCTTGCCACAGTTCAGCAAAGTAAACCAAATACCAGGTCTGGGGTACCAAGCCTGAACTGAATTCAGTTTCATGACATGGAGAGAAGAGCAAAATTTAGGGAACTTCAAGTATCTACAGAATCTTTGCTCACTGACCTTTCAACAAGAACAAGAACAACACAATCCCACATTTACTTATTTATTTGAAGGTCAGAGGAAGAGACAGACAGAGAGAGATTGTGTATCACTTTATTTATTCCACAGATGGGTACCACGGCCAGGGTTGAATAACCAAAACCAGGAGCCAGGAACTTCATCTGGGTTTCCCACATGGGTGGCAGATATCCAAACACTTGTGGCATATTCTATTGCATTTCCCTAGGTATTAGCACAGAGGTTGATTGGAAATGGAGTGACCGGGGCAGGGACCAGCTCCCATATGAGATTCTGGCATTGCAGGCAATGCATTATCTACTATAATTTTAAAAGCATTTTACCAAAAAGTTACTTACTTTCTTTACCTGATATGTGTGATTGTGTTTGTGTGTCTGTGTGTGTGTGTGTGTATGTGAGAGAGAGAGAGAGAGTGTGTGTGCATGCTTTCACCACCCATCTGTGTAATTAGCTCACTCTGAAATGCCTACAACTGCATAAAAGGGGGTCAAAGCTAGGAGCTAGGAACTCAACGTGAATCTAACATGTGTGAAGCAGGCACCCATCCGCTTGAAACATCACTGTTGACTCCCTGTTGCACATGAATAAGAAGCTGGAATAGGAGAGACTATTCTTGAACTCAAGCTGTCTGGCATGGGATACAGGCACCCCAAGCAGCATCCTAAGTACTAGTCCTGATACATATCCATGGCAATGGCATAGCAAGCTAATCCTGTGCCTGGGGTGCTGGCATTCTACATGTGTCTTAGGTGCCCTACTTCCAAACCAGCTCCCTGATTGTGGCCTAGGAAACAAACAGAGGATGGCCCAGGAGCATGTGCATGTGAACCTGTATCCTGACTCCTCACTTCAAATCAGCTTAGCTCCCTCCATGGTGGCCATTTGAGGAGTGAACCAGCAGATGGAAGACCTCTTTCTGTCTTTCCTTCTCTCTTCATAAAATCTGCCTTTCAATTAGAAAAAAAAAAAAAACCTTCTTAAAAATTTGTTTTAAAGAGAAGGTTGATGGCCATAAGCTCTTTTTCCCTATGCCTAACACTTTTTGCTAAAGAGTGGTATTGCTTGCATTTGGTGGGGCCCCACTGCACAGACTCACTAGAATGCAAGGTTTATCAAGGGTGTGAAAAGATAGAAGCCATCTCATGGAGTGGATGGTGAGAGGAGATGGGATGTGCAGATGCATTTTTGATAACTGTTAGCTGGCCTCAGCACCAGCAATGTCTGCTTGTCTCTCTTGGTACCTTCATGAGGTGGGAAAATGGTCAGAACAAGATTTATATAACTTTTTTGAAAGGGTTCATGTTGGGCCTGGCACAATAGCCTAGCGGCTATAGTCCTCATGTTGCATGCGCCAGAACCCCATATGAGCACCGGTCCTAATCCTGGCAGCTCCACTTCCCATCCAGCTCTGTGCTTGTGGCCTGGGAAAGCAGTCAAGGACAGCCCAAGGTCTTGGGACCATGCACCCCTGTGGGAGACCCCAAGGAGGATCTGAGCTCCTGGCTTTAGATTGGTTCAGCTCTACCCATTGCGCCCCCTAGGAGAGTAACTCAACAGACAGAAGACCTTTCCCTTTGTATCTCCTCCCCTCTGTATATGTGACTTTCCAATAAAAAAGGTTTCATTCTGTTTATTTGAAAGGATTAGTTACAGAGGAAGATGGAGAATAAGAGGGTGAGGAAATGAGAGAGAGAAGCAAAGAGAGAGTCATATATACTCCTTGTAACGGTTTAACCAAAATGTCCATAATGGCTAGGGAAAGACCAAAGTCAGGAGCCATAGACTTCTTCCAGCTCTACCACATGGATGCAGGATCCCAAATATTTGGCCATCATGCACACATTCCCAGGTGCATATGCAGATGCTATATTGGAGGTAGAGCAGGAAAGGCACAAACTACTTCGAAATGGGGGCCAGTGACAACAGGATTCAATCAAACCAGAGTCAGACTACATGCAACCATGTCCTATAATCTCGGAGTATGTATGAGCCCAGGGCTTAAGAGGCCACAAGAAACGGGACAAATCACAGATCAAGACACACTCCCAGAGATCTGAGAGTGTAGGAGAATGGGGACTGGGGAAGGAAAAATCCTGGGAGGTGGCAGAGGTCTGGAGAAGCCAGAGGACGATAGCTGATGCATGGCCAAGGGAGTCAGTCATTCACCTCCATGAGCCCCACACTCTCATGGCCACAGAGACAACGCACAACACTGCAAGGTGCATCGTTTATTGCGAGTGTAGAGGGAGATCATGCTCACATTCCTTAGGGTATGACAGAGAGAGTCAGAAATCCACAAGGACTTTTGATTACAGAGGGAGTGCTGGCAGTTAGGGACAATCCTGAGGATGTGTGGAGACCATCTTTACATGCAGCAGTAGGGACAGGAATCAGGCCCTAGAACTTGACCTGGAGAGATGTGATGGCCAGGATGCAGAGAGGCTGGTGCTGAGGTGAGTAGGCAGTTACCTGGTGCATAATACACATAGAGGGGAACAAATACACAGGCACTTAATAAATATTTCCTGAGTGCAATGGTGGAGAGCTGCTTCTAATGAATGTTCCAATTTAGCTTTTTTTCCAGAAAAAAAAGGGGAGTGAAGAGCACTGAGCAAATGATTCTCTACTCTGACTGATGCCTTCTTAAATTTTCCTGACTGTCACCCCCAGCTTCCTTTCCCAATAATCTGAGAACAAAGCCCAGATCCTCCCACAAGGTGTTGACCCAACCCTTCTCTCCAGCTCTTCTCAGAGCTCACCAACCTGAGGGCTTAGGCCTATGCCTGGTCTCGGGCTTGGAGGCAGCGATCTGCAGAGGAGGAATAGAACATGTTAAGGCACCAAACCCCAGTTCATGAGCCAGGAAGGAAGCAGCTGACTCACCAGCCTAGGAACAAGGGGACTGGCTGTGGGTGAACCCATTCCTGGATTTCTCCTCTGTTCCATGATCATTTGTTAGAGAAAGAGAAGACTGAACTTACCAGTCTTGGTTAGGTCCAGTATGTTTTCCTTCACGATGCCATGTTCTTGACTCAGTTGCACATACTTTTCCCTGATTTCTGAGCTCACATCAGGTCCTCGGCCTGTAAGAAGAGTGGCAGTCATGGCTGGGTCTTGTATGCTGACTTGTGGAGGTGAATAAGGAGAGGAGCGTTCCCCAGTGGAGGGAAAAATAAATGGCACCATGTGGGGCTCAGTCTGAAATCAGGTGTTGGGAGATATATGACACCAGCAGGGCATGTTTGGGACTCAATGCCAGACTTCAGTATCCCCTCACCCACAGGTTAATCAGGGTGAGCATTGGTATTCACAGTGGGGAGAACGTCAGGGGATGAGACAAAATGAGTGCAGGATTTCTTCCTTCCACCCTGCCAGCCCTCTCTCCTCCAAGATGGGAGCTGGTGTGATAAGATTGTACCGTACAGTCCCATCAGCCGAAAGCCATCCCCATTGTTTCCATTCTTGAGAATGTAAATCAAGTATTCATCGGAGACTATGTCAAGGATGCGAAAGACATTGTGTCCATTATCTGTGGGCAGAAGAACAAGACTCAGAACTTGTTTGACCAAGAAAGAGGCCATTGACATTCTTTGCCTGTTCTTTCCACACAATAAAGTCAAGAAGGAAGTCGGTTAGTAATGCACCTCCCTGGACTATAAGAGGTGGTGTCTGTGGAAAGGGATGCTGCTAGGTTGGCCTCCAGTGGTACAAACATGCAGCCACAGCAGCCGCTCACCCTGGTCTTCTCTGAGACCTGCCCACCTCCCTCAGCAGCTCTCCAGGATGTGCCTCTGACCTCCTCCTAATTCTCACTGACATCACACACTGAGGCCGCAGCCTGAGAAGGTTGTCACAGTAGTGAGCACCAGCTCTACTCAGAAAGGCATAGGAACAAGAAGCTGTCCTGCCCCTTTGCTGTTATTCTGAGACTTCACTTGCATGGCAAGCAGCACATGAGATCATGTCACCTTCTTTCTCATCTGACAGTGTTGTGTGCCAGGCATTTGCTTGGACCTGTAATTCTCTCCCACAGTGAAGACACTAGGATGTTGACTCTTAGATGTCCCCAGGATGGGACCTAAATCATCATTGACAAATGCTATGAAGTATCAGGGACTTGGTAAGACACACCTTGTAGTCAAAAGCAGAATTGAGGAAGCCTTTTGGGGTATACGTACACTCAAAAGAATATTCTCCTTCCTCCTCTGTTGGATCAGCCACTAACTCATGTGCAGCACATTGTCCGTTTTCACTGGAAAAGAGTGTAAGTAGATGACCAAGAGATATTAATGAGACTGACCTCCTCGCCTTCTGCTCTCCTTCCCACTCCAGTTTCTTATTCTACTTGTGAATATTTTTGGCACAGTGATCAAAGAGCTTTTACTGACAGGATTGCCTTTGATCTGATACTTGGGGAAGAGCTCACACAACTAGTTCATCATTGCTGTTATCACCACTCACCAGAGTTGTTACCATTATAAGATCCCTGCTTTTATGAATGGCAGACTGAGTGTTCACCACACGCTCATTTCTTAAATTAGTGGTTTACAAATGTTACCAGGTTTGGTTATCAAAAATCAAAATGCAGAAAACAAACAGAATAAAAAATTCAGAGGTAGAATTGTCACCATCAAATTTTTACTAAGGGAGTTGGAACTGGAAAGATCTGAACGTTCTTTATCATGCAAGTGGTAATTGATAGATTCCCAATGAGGCTGTTGATCCCCTATGTCGTTGATGCTGTGTAATGCCATGACAATATTTAAGACTGATGTCCCTTTGCCACTTTCTTTATCCACTCTTGGTACATTAATTCCTGTCACCAACTCTGCCATTGAAATAGAAACGTCTTGAGTCCACAAATTCCTGGACCAGTGCCAAATCCTCAGATTTTGGGTTCTGTCTCAGTGTGTGTGTGTGTTTGTGTGTGCGTTCACACAAAGCAACATGTGCACACATGTATGAATGTGTGAACACACAGACTTATGTGTCAATGATACCAGGTTTCCACTTTTCTCCTTCCTTACAAAAAAGAGTCTCACTTACATTATATGATATATATAGGAAAGAGAAGAATTTTTCAAGATATCAACGTGTTTCACAAACATTCTCATGCTTCCATTTTCTTCTATTATTTCCCTGTGGTCAGAGGCCAGCAGAACAGTATACCATTCCCCAGAAAGCTACAGTGAAGAAGGAAAATAATTAGGTAAGAGAATAGCAGAGGGTTTGCCACATGGACATTTCTGCCCTTTAACCTGGGCTAGGGCTCATAATGGTGATGTATTGATGGAATTAGAATTGTGGTCAATGGACACCACCTCTGTGGTGTTTATCACCATCTCTCCCATGGGTTGGAGATCACCAAACACAGTTTTTGAATGTGGTACAATAGCTACACATCTTTTTTGTTTCATATGTTAAGGACCCTCGGGTCATCCAGAACCTGCCTGAATTCAGCGTCCTCCAGTCCAGGAGTGGCTGTTGGCACTACAGTTAAGATACTGGCTGGGATGCCTACAGCCCATATCGGGACCCTGACAAACTTGTAATTCTAACTTCATGCTATTGTGCACACTGGGAAGCAACAGGTTGATATCTTATGTAGTTATGTCCCTGTGAGCCATGTGGAAGTCCTAAATTGAATTTGGGTTCCAGGCATAAGCCACTGTGAGAATTGGAGAATAAACCAATAGGTAGAGCTCCCTGTGGATCCATCTGTCTCTTAGGTAAACAGACAAAACAGGGAATGCTCCACACCACCCACCACAGTTAGATATCGCTGTACCTCAGACCCTACCTCAGACACATCAGCAGCTGCTTCCTTTTGGGCACCAACCAGAGCCAGTGCCACACACAGCCACAGCATCTTCATCTTGGCAGAGGTTGTTATCCCTTCTTCTGTCACACCAGGGTGGAGTCTTTCTCTGACTGTTTCTTTGCTTTCCAGTTTGCCTGAATTTATACCTCGTGGCCTGATTGTTTTTCTATGGGGCTTCTCCTCTGCCCCTCCCCTTCAGGAAATGGCCTTTCCAGCTCTGGAGGGAGGCCTGGATTATTCCTGCCCATTTTACATTCACCACCCTATCTCCTTAAGATGTAGAAAATGACCTTCAAGTCTTAAAACCTGTTCTCTAGGAGAATATGGGATGGGAAACCATACCGCCACTGGGAAACAGATTCAATTGTGGATCTTGCAGGGAATAACAAAGCTTATTCTGTGTGGAAAGAGACGAAGACAAGTGGAAAATAGGGGCATGTGGAGAATGTCAAGTGTTCCCCCAACTCTTTTGGAGAATTTAGATGGGTGAATTACCCAGGGTTTCCAAGTCTCCAAATCCAACAAATAATCAAAACAAAGTACCATCACAAAGCACTGAAAGGGGCTGAACAAAGCTGTTCAGTACATTTTCATCTCTTCTTTTTACTCACTGAATTCAGTCTCTGTGGTCTTCTTTGTCCCTACAATGAATATGAAAGAATTAATCAACCAACATAATTCTATGTCATGGTACTCAAGAGTCCATCAATGCAAGATAAGAACCCTGAATTAGGTGTTGTGCTACCATGGATAAAGTTACTACCTGTGACACTGGCATTCCATATGGACACCATTTCAAGTCCTTGATGTCTGTTTCTACTCCAGAAATTCTGCTAATGGCTTGAAAAAGCAGCTGAAGGTGGCACAAGTGCTTTGGCCCTTGCACTTATGCTGCAAATCCAAATGAACTCAAGGCCACGATGGCAATGTGGGAGTAAATGGAAGCTCTCTCTCTCACTCTGTCTCTCTAACTCTCTGTGTGACTGTCTGCTGTCAACATACACATGTAGAGTCTGAAACAAATTTCTTTTGAAAATGATATTTTCCCTTTTTTGAAATAACTTACACTGACGATGAAGACACAAGTGACATATAGGAACATGCAATGGCCCAACTTACTGGTGCTAAACCCAGACCATGGTAAAGGGAGTGATGAGGGATGATGACTGTGTAGAATGTGCTTAAGGGCACAGGCTTTGGAGTCCTGCAGGCCTGCTCCATTCCTGCTCCTATCAGTTTGAAGCTTTGAGAACATATTTTACCTTCCTAGAGGATTCCTCTCCATTTCCTCTTCCTGAGGACAGTTATGCCTGCCGAGGAGGCTGCAGTAGGGATTCAATGGACTGATGAGCATAAGTGTCAGGCATATGTGGACCTGGTGGGATCACAGCCTGCTACTGGATATGGTAGGACTTGGGAAGGCCTTGAGAGTGAGGGAGGGTACAAAGGTGTGGAGTGCATGTGTGTGTGTGAAGAGCCCTCTGAGTGAGAGCCATGTGGAGAGTCAGGGTCTGGTGTTGCCAGCAGGACTGTTCAAAGCTTCAGTCAACACTTGCCTTGTGCTAAACACCTTCTCCTAGTGTCTCCCACCCCAAGCCAGAAAGAGGCTGGTGTCATGGGAGGGGTTGGGCATAAGGCACTAAGCCTAGGAACTGTGGCCCCCTTACACAGCCATGCCACACCTTTGGTGGACACTCCCCAGTTCCTGCTCACCTGAGATCCAGTCACTGTTATTTTGGAGCCCATATTACTTTCCCCTCAGAGGCATCTGTGTGTTTCACTGTCTTTGAGATGGAAGAACTGAGCTTGATATCTGGTGCAGAAGGCTGGGTGCCTTGAAGTTATTTTCTCCACTGATCCTGTCTCAGAACAGGTAGAAGCCTGTGAACCTCCCAGGGAACCCCACTCTTTCCAGGTTGTCATGCTGATGGGAGACTCAGCTACTACTTATGACATCCTACTGTCAACACTAACTCTGTGTTCATCAGGCACCATATTGAAACTTTTTGTTTCTGTTTTCATGTTCTCTTTTAGCAGGGATTGTTAGAAGAAATTTTACAGAAAATATTTGTAGGAATAGGTCTGCTCTCTTTGGAGAGGCATATCTAATATCTATTGTTAGGTCATGGAAGTAAAGGGACAGCATAGGCCTGAAGTCTCTGATCAGAAGCCCGAGTTTAGATGATGCTCTCTACTATGAATTGAGCTGACTGTTCCTCATTCTGGATATTCATGTTCATTTCTAATCGACTACATTTTGGTAATTGGCTTAACTACTGGCCATGATGTCTGTCAACAGTGGGATAGCCAGTCAAGGCCTCCAAAATATACAAGAGGCATGACTCAATATACCCAGGGGTTTGATGAAAGAAACCAGTATGAAACCAAAGCTGAATTAATAATCTGTCAATCAGGATTGATGCTTTGATTTATAATAAAATTCCTTTAAACACTATTTTAGCACTGCATCTACGTATTTGTGGAAGGAGCCATGGGTGAGTAATCTGAAACCACTGTCATAAATTTTAGAAGAGTGAAAAAGAGTACACTCAGATGAAATATTGTGTTTTGTTTTGGAATGATAGGAAGAAGTAGACAGATGAGAGATGGAGAAGGATTAAACAAAGTGTGATGTAAGCATCATGTGTACATGGAACAGATTCAGTTCATGAAAGTTCATTTATCCAATATCTACAAGGAATAAACTTGATGTACATTGTGAGAGAGGTAGACATGGACAACACTTGACTGTGGAGTAAGTTAGTCTGTGGTACAGAAATTTGCTTTAGGAGCTGGTACTACTTCATTTACAAAGAATAATGACTTCACCAAGTTTAGCTGTCGTTGTGATATGCTTGCCCACGTGTTGTCTGTAGTTGGTGCTTGGTGTGTTGTAGAACAAATCATGTGGTGATCAATCCTGAAAAAAAATCCTGGACTGTTTAGGATTAGGTTTGAAATAAGACAGAAATGAACCAAAGAATGTATAGAAAATCAAAGGAAAGAAACTCAATGTGAGAATGGGGAATAAAACAAGAAGAAGGAAAACATAATTTGACTGACCACTTGATTGCAGGTATGGAGCTGGAGGCTTTTCCTCCTGGAAGGGCACAGCTTAACCTAAGTGGTGCAAATTGATAAGGTGGGATCAGGACAGAAGCAAGCTCTCATGGCCTCTGGACCTCTTGTGACCTAGTAGAAGGGAAGTGGGTTTTCCAAGGAGTAAGGCCTATTTCCAGTGGGAATCAAGGCGTGATGGTAGAGTTGATCTCTCATCTTGTGGGCCCAGAGAAGTCATCTCCTTTACTCTCAAGGTGGAACAATATCTTTGAGGAGTGAGTCTCTGTTGGCATGACAGTAGAAGACAAACCTGTGTCTACCCTGTCATCTGTCACCACGTGTGGCAGCTAAGCTTCACACCTGTCCATTTAGGGGACGGAATGAGTGTGATGACTCTTGTCAAGAGTCATTCCAGGACTGAATCCCTCAATGTACACATATGTCAGAACATTGTATCATGTGTCTCATTATATAAAAATTGTCAAATTAAAAATTACAAAAATGGAAAGTAAATTGAAGGCTGAACTTCTCAGGGTCACCTAAGCCACAAATATGAAGAATATGACATTGACATTTGAATCTAAGATTTTATGTT